TATTCAGATTTTTAAAACCCTGGCAATTTAATTTTGAATTTTAAGACTTTATTTAATTATGAATTTGATATTTTTAAACCTTGATTTGTCTCTATTCTACAACAATCTTCAACACTAAATAATATATCAATAGTTTGAAGTAAAAATTTTTAATAGCAACTTGACATACAAATTTTAGCTCAAATGGTTATGTTGTCAAAGCAGGTTACATAACTCTTAAAACTAAGGAAGAAAGGAGTATTGATGAATAAATTATAATTTCCACTTTTCATTATAAGTTTGTAAATGTCCATTCCTTAAGAGCAAAATCCCATTTTAATATATTCAGATCCTAAAAAAAAGGAATATAAGTTTTTTCATTTTTCAAAATATTTAAAAGTTCTTGTGATTATGTTATTTTATTTATCAATTTAAGTTATATATCTGATTAACTATATTTAAAAAATAAAATATCTGAACTAATACTCAAAATTTTCTATTAATCTAAAATGCAAATTCTAATTAAAATTTACGTCTATTTATCAAGCATACCTATCTTGTACTCCATTTTTCTTGATTCAACTTTATTTCTACAAAAGTTTAGGTTATTTATTTCTTTGAAATTAGGAGATCTTATGCAAATTGAAAGCACCTTTTTCTCCATATTTTTTGCGCATTTTAATCCAAATTATTAATAAGCAGCGACAATTATAGTATCAATCTTCTTTAAAGTTTTATTAATAATGGTTAGTTCAATTTCATATCCTGTTTAATTATCAATAACACAAAGAGCCATACACACCACTTTTCTATTGCAGATTATGCTATTGAACAATTCCTAAAAATTCTGGAAGGAGAACGTAATTTTATTGAAATGCTTTATTTTATATTCTAAATTGATTTATCCCAGCTTTTATGTAATTCTAACAATTATTTAATGTTCTCTTTTGTAAAATTAATATTCAATAGTAATTCACTTGAGAAATTGAGGACAATTGAAGTGAAATTTTAAGGATTACCCTAATCATAACTAAAGGTTTGATGAAAGGTTCCCAATTATCTAAATTGAAAAATTATGCTTGAAATAGAATTTATTGATTCATAATATACTTCCGTCTTTTAGTTAAACTCATTTGATACTCTTTTAATGATAAATTTAATCAACGGCACAGGACTTTCATTTAAAAATACAAAAATTATCTCAGCCTAATATACTTAAAAATTTGCCAAAAGCAACTTTTCTTGCTAAACTTTGTTTTATTTATTTGATTTTGAAATTCAAGCTCTTTTTAAACATTGGCAAAATTAAAAATCTTTTGACTTCAAAAATTTACCAAATCAAATAAATCAATCAATTTTTTATATCAAATAGATTATCAAAATAAGGAAAGTATGAAAAGGTCAACTTAAACTTTAATATTACTCAAGATAAATCTTAACATATTTTTATTAATCTAGAAAATATTAGACAAAGAAATTTTAAGAAAAATAATTTATCACCTTCCTTAATTATACATTATCCAGGTGAATGCTACATAATGATATAAATTAAACTTAAATAATTATAAGAGATTTTCTTAGTAATAGGAAATGAAAAATTCATATTTTCATCAAAGTACTATTAATGTTGAAAGTTAATTTAAAAACATAACTTGAATTGGAGAGATTACTGATGTAATTATAAAGAATAAAAAGTTTGTTCTTCTTTTTGATTAAAAGATATATTGTGATAGATGGAGGAATTATTAAAGGATTTACATCTAGCAAAAAATCATAGATTAAAATTTGACCAACTTCATTATTATACTTTTAAAATACTTTATGTTATTAAAATATTAATTAGAGAATGAATAGTCTAATATTTAGAGTGAAAAATTGAAATCTGACTTAATATATATACACAGCTCATTTATAAGATCATGAAACAATACTGCTTTTGAATTGTGAAATCATTTAAAATTTTTTTAATTTGATTTTTTACTCTTTAAACTTAGGTTGATATAAAACAATCATTCCTTAAAAAATTTTTAGCTCATATTTTTTTCAAATCAGTTAGGTTATATTTAATTTTTCATCCAAGTTTGATATTTATCTACAATTTTATTTCTTCTATATTTGATAGTAGTTAAAAGATTGTCATTAAAAATTTTTAATAATACAATTTAAGTAGCAACTTAAATTCATTTTAAATTTTCACATTTTTTTATTGAAAATCGCATTTTTCCAAGATATTTTATAGTTTTGATTTCGGTATAATATTCAAATTATTTAGGTGTATTTGTGCAGAATACAACTTTAGATAAGGAGTTGTTAACATTTATTTTCATTTTTTTTCTTGTTTTAATATTAATCGAATCGAATCTTCTAAATTAAAGGGTTTTTCAATTCTTGGAAAATTTGATTCTAAATTTGATAATCATTTCTTTGGTTAATCTAATACTTCAGCAGATATAATTAAAGAAAATTTAATATTAAAAGATTATTCATCTCATTTATATCTCTTGTATTAGTTTTCAGGATACACAAGAATAAGAGCTAAGCCAAAGTTTCAACACAAATATCAATGATTAAGTGTTTCAAGATTTAGCGTCAGAATAAATTTTTCTCTAAAGTATATATCAATATTTTTAAGAACCGTTTGCAGTTAATCATAAAAAAAATAATTAAATTACATTACATTATTTACAATATGATACCTGATAATTTTTTCAATTTAATTGGGTGGAAAGAATTCAACAAAAATTATTTTAAATATAAATAAATGATTTATTATTAACATAATAAAAATGACAATTGAAAAATTTATAAATTTAATATTGATAGCATCCCTATTTTTGTTTACAAATGTCCAAATAAAGCCAAAAATAGATGCCATTCAAGAATTGTCTACTTTCACTGTTTGAAATTAATATTAATTTTAAATAATGAATAAGTTATATATCTTCAGTTGTATGAGCACGAATTTTTTTTATTATTGCATATCTATTAAAGTGCTGTAATTCTTATAATACTTTAAACATTTATTCTAACATGTGCATATGTTATTATTGCGATGTTCTCTTTTCATTTTGTGGACTGTTAATTGAAAACTATGTTCTCCTATTTATAGGATTACTACTCACTTTCTTGAGATGGAAGGAGATAACAAGCCTTCAAACTCTCTAATCCAACACCCACTACCCAACCCTTACATACCTTGTGTTTATGTAGTGAAGATATAATAAACCCTCAAACCACCATTTAGGAAAAAAATGAATAGGTTATTGTTATTGTATTAGATGTATTTAAACAAAATTTTTTATACTTATATTTTTTAATCTAAAACATATTATATAAGTAATAGAAATTCATTATTTAAAAAAAAAAAATTAATATTATGATCACTCTTAAAAACTAACAAGAAACTCTATTTGAAATTTTTCACAATATTTTGAAGGTAGATGAAGAATTATTCACTTACATGATCTAGGTTTTTAGAGAAGAAAGCATATCAAATATTATTGAATTTATTTCGATAGAAGCGAATCAAAGACATCTTCAATCAAGAATCATACAACTCAAGAATTCATCGAAAATAGTTGTAGGAAACAAGTTAGAAGATTCAGGAAAGAACATTGAGAATATTCTATAAATGCTCATCAATATTAAAGAAAATGACATAAACTTAGTGGATTTCTCCTCTGATCTATATTTAGAAATAAAATAAGATATAATCAGCAAAATAAAAGAAAATAAAAAGATCAAATCGCTTTTAAATTTTTTAGTTCATCTCACTGCTTATGATGAGTAATTCATAGTATGTGGATCAAATTCGCTTCACTTATTGGTTGAATTGAAGGTAGATTTGAAGAATTAGTGCTTTGAAAATATAAGGATTAGGAATACCTCTTTGATTGGTGGAACTTTTGTAAGTTGCAATTTGAATGGAACAAAATTTGAAAATGTAGATATATGCAGTATCAATTTGAATGGAGCTTAACTATTAAATTGCAAATGGAAGAACCTTAAGATCCAAGAGTTAAATAAATTTCATGGTCATACTAGCACTGTCCACTCTATCTGTTACTCACTTGATGGAAATACTTTAGCATCTAGTAGTGATGATAACTCTATACGTTTATGGGATATTAAGACAGGACAATAAAAAAATAAAATAGATGGTCATACTGGTAGGGTAAAGTCAGTCTGTTTTTCTCCTGATGGAAATACTTTAGCATCTTGTAGTGGTGATAAATCTATACGATTATGGGATGTTAAGACAGGATAATAAAATAATAAATTAGGAGGTCATACTCATTATGTAAGGTCAGCCTGTTTTTCTCCTGATGGAAATACTTTAGCATCTTGTAGTGATGATAAATCTATACTGGGATGTTAAGACAGGAAATAAAATAAATTAGGAGGTCATGCTGATTATGTAAACTCAGTCTGTTTCTCTCCTGATGGAAATACTTTAGCATCTGGAAGTGATGATCAGTCTATACGGTTATGGGATATAAAAACAAGAAAATAAAAAAA